CGAAGGCGACAGAGGACGGGCGGCTGCGGGCTCCTGCGCGGATGGAAGGTCCTTGCGTGGATGTTTGCTGAGCAGAGGCTGTGCAGTAGGCAGGGCTGGTGGGTCGGCCGGTGTTTCTGATTTGTGTGTGTGTGTGTGTGTGTGTGTGTGTGTGTATTGTTGTGCGGCGCACGGGCAGGACTGGCGTGTGCAGGAGCCAGGGATCGAGGCTCTGCCTCCTCTGCAAAGACTGATCCAGGATTATGGTCTAGGTGAAGGGAGAAGGCTCTTGCTCACCCCAGGGACTGATTATGCTCGGGTTTTGATCGCATTCGGGGGTTTCTGCAGCCGCGGACGCCTCCCCCTCCCCGGCGGCCCCCCTCCCTTGTTTTCCGTTAGAAACACGGGCAAGAAAATAAATGTATTCACTGGGTGTCGCAAGAGCAAAGGCTAAATAATCAAAGGTAACAGCAGCAGCAAGGCGAGGAGACCCGCACGGTGTTCTGCTCCCCCGCTCCCAGACCTGCCCTTCTATTTATTGGCGAGACCTTCCTCCCTCCCGCTTGGTGCAAGTGCGTTGTGCGAGTGAGTGTTCAATCCCGGGAAAAGTGCAGCCATCCAGCCATGGTGGTTTTCAATGGCTTGCTGAAAATCAAGATCTGCGAGGCGGTGAATCTGAAACCCACGGCGTGGTCTCTGAGGCATGCGGTGGGTCCCAGGCCACAGACCTTTTTGCTGGACCCTTACATCGCCCTCAATGTGGACGACTCCAGGATCGGGCAGACCTCAACCAAGCAAAAGACCAACAGTCCTGCTTGGAATGATGAATTTGTCACCGATGTTTGTAATGGCAGGAAGATAGAGATGGCTGTTTTCCATGATGCCCCCATCGGGTACGACGATTTTGTAGCTAACTGCACTATACAGTTCGAGGACTTGCTGCAGAACGGGAGCCGCCACTTCGAGGACTGGGTAAGTGTGTTCGTGCTGTAGGTACATACAAGTACATGTGATTCTCAGTGGCACGGCCCGGGATGCAACATCTGTCTCACAGAGCTAGGTTGCCAAGGGCATGTAATGACTCTGAAAGCTTTTCATTATTTCCATGCTTTGTTATACCAAGATAGTCATGGTTACTGTGTATCTAATGTGTGTGGTCTACAGGTAAGGGAAGAAAGAAAAATATGCTGCATCTAGGTAAGAGATAATAGTTATCACTATATAACTATAGCTACCATCAAGTGGTATAGTTACCACTTCAGTGTCTGAAATTATATTATATAAATGCAAGTCCAGTTATTTTACAGTGTTTCAAAACCCTAAACCAAATTCATCCATACAGAACAGTGCTGAAAAACCCGGATCTAGTACTTAGACAGAGTTCGTTACTTCAGTGTGAATGCTCTTGGTAGGCCTGGCAATGACAAGCCTTAAAAATACAGACCTGACCTCTGATATGAGGCACTTCAGGGTCTTCCTATCACTTAAAAGCTCACTGCATCAGCGCTGATGCTCCTCCTTCCTTCCCCCAGATGATCTACACCTTTATGCATAGAGCTAATGCAATGCTTCTTCAAATGCCTCAGACTAATAAAAGGTCCTGGTGGATTTTGGCTCCAACCAGACATATTCAGTTGCCTGTATACACAATGTGTTTTAACAGCTTCTACAGAGTATTAAAGACCCAGAGGCTAGCATGCCTCAGTGGCAGTACAAAAAAGCTGGAAAATCCTTGGTCTGACATCCTCAGGTACTGTGATTTAATATGGGAAAAACAATAAAACACAAAAAGAAACACAGGAAAGAGTATGCATACTTTATGTTTCTGCAGTTAGACAGTTAAACGATAAATTGATTCAATAAGATGTATAATAAAACAATAGTAATGGTCTTCTAATTTTACATGTGCCCTCCTTAAATAGCCATCTGAAATGTGTATGCTCATCTTTTTGTGTATCTGTTTGTTGCAGTCAAGGTTACTAGTCAGTTTCCTGTATTCTTTGGGGCATCAGAACGATAGAAAAGTGTGAAAGAGGCTCTATGTGCTGATTAGGAGCTGAGTAACTTTACTGTTAAAACTTTAGTATTTTCAACTTTTAAATATTTTCCACTTCTGCTACATGTGTTACATTGTGGTAATTAGTATTTAGATTATTCTGATGCTTTATAAAACCTACAGGTTAGTAAACTGGAATGGTGAAAACTGGGTGATAGGCAGAGGAGAAGCAGCCAAATCAGGAAAAAACAAATGCAGTAGTATTGCAGATGTCTTTTACCTGGGTTGAATGATAATCAAGTTGTGGCTTTCCTGAAATCAGAGGGTTTCATCTTT